CGTTGAGTCACGACGGCTCCGCAGACGCCGAGCATATTTCTCATGCATGGTCGCAAGAAATAAATTCAGGTTTGCTATTTCACATCTAGATGTGAAATAACTACTCCCTCCATTCCATAATATAGTGCGCCCGCGCTTCCCGATGTCCAACTTTGACTATAAATTTAATCAACGAGACCAACTGCGGCGGGAGAAAAAATTATATAATTGAAAACTTCTTTCAAATACGAATTCACTGATATAATTTTTGCTCCCGCCGCAATCGGTCTTGGTAGTTAAATTTACGGTCAAAGTTGAAGCACGTGGATAAAAGAAGCACTACATTGTGGAATGGAGGGAGTATCTCACATCTAACTTCCTAGCCATATATAGCATATTAAGATTCGTGATTTTTGCCTTCGCTTCTTCGTGTCTTGTTTTTTTAGGAGCTTCGTGTCTTTCTGTTTGTCAAGACGCGTGCGTAACAACTTTTTGTTGCCTAGGCCGCTTCACGTTATAACTGCCAGCTTTGCTTTGCCTGGGCCGCTCCTATTGTGGAATTTTTTCCATCGATTTTTTGTGTGTGCCGGTCTCCTGTAGTCTTTAGAGCTGGTTGTCTTTTTTTTTTGAGCCATTCGCGTGCTTGTGCCGTGGAAACAAGGCGTCATGTCTTTCCATTTATTTTTGCCTCGTCGTTTTACTTTTTTATTTTTATTTTTTGTTTCATTATTTGTTTTAAATTATGAAGTATTTTATACTCATGATCTTTTGTCTTTTATTTATATTTATTTTTTCTTTTTTTAATTTATGAATTTTCACTCAGCCATCTTTTCTCTTCAAATGTCATGCAAATCTTGATCAAGAGTTGTTTTCTCACACGGGTATCGTGTCACGTCGTGGGTCTGGTGACTACTTGTCGGCCTTGCTCATCCAACTCAGTCACCCTAGTTTCTAATCGCCCCAGTTGCAAGGCAACCATGTACTCGCAACTCGGGGGATGTAGTTTTGTAGTTGTCCCGGTTGCAAGTTCACCCTCGACTCGCAACTCGGGCCGTGTTGTTTTTTGTTCTTATTTTATAGTAGTTGCAATTAGACCCTCGACCCGCAACTAGGGGTTTCTGTCGGCCCAGTTGCAAGTCTACCCTCGACTCGCAACTCGGGAGGGTGTTGTTTTGTTTCAGCCCATTT